CCACGAACGCACAGTGCATTTGGAGAACAAATCCTGACAGCTGAAATTGAAAAGCATCGCGGAAGACAAGTACGAATTCATCATCTTCGGAACAAAAATCAGGAAATAAATAAAGCATAAATAAAGTCTCCTCAACGCCTCTATAAATAAATAGATTTTTTGTCTCCAAAAAAGTTTGTTCAATAATAAATAGCTACATAAATAAAAAGGCATTGAAAAGTCAAAGGCAGCAGTTCACTGGTTCACAGAAATACATCCAATCGGCCACTTCGTGTTGATGGAACGCGTCCTGTCAGTCGAGCTATGCTCGGCGAAAGACCCGCAACAGCCATGCTCCCACAAACTCAAACTCAGATGCTCAGTCCCGGGCCGAAAGGGGGAAGATCCATGGATGAGTGTGTGTGTATGTGTGTGTGTGTGAAGGGGGGGGGGCGACAATTGTTATCATGACGGGCAGTTCTCAGTGACACTTTTGACGTCAGACAACTTTCAAACAACCTGCCCGGGGCATTCGACAATATGTGGCCCGCCAAATATGGGCAGTGTAAAACCACATTACAAAACTCAAATGAATAATTGAGAATGGCCAACGGAAAAAATGGGGGGGGAGGTGGCGACGGAGACAAGTGGTGTTGGTTATACGAAAAGGTACGAAGGAGAGGACAAAGAGAAAGCGGCAGAAGGTTGCCCCCATGCATGTTTGTCATGTGTTCTCATACCAGTCAATGCAGCGGCTCCTAGCAGATCAGGAGCTGGTTGCCAAACAAGCGTTAGGGATGGAGTGCTGCTCAGTTGTTCCAGTACACAGGATGACATGGCAAAGGCTGGGCTCATGCCATGAGGGGACTGACTGGACTGACTTGGCTGCCAGCCACTGCAACTAAAACAGACGCCACCTGAAGCAAGTTATGCAGGTCGCTTCTCCGCATACTTCTTCGCGTGCTCCTCGGCGTTCTTGTCAAACTTTTTACGATCCTTGAGGAACTCCTCTGCCAAGTCTCCACGCAGAGGGTGACCGGCTTCAGGGGAGTGGATCAAAGCAATCAGAGCCGCGATTACTTGGTCCGTCTTTGTTGCTGGCTTCCAGTTCTCTGCGGTAACGATAGGGAGGCACACCTGACCCTTCTCGTCGACATTCGGATGATAGATGGGCGTCTTGAAAATCACCTTGGGGGGCTTGAACGGATATTCAGCCGGATAGGAAATTTCTATGCGGAAAGCACCCTTGTTGTACGGCGGGTCGTGAGGAACCAGAAGTCCATTCCACAGCAACATGTTCGTCTCGCTCACCTGGATGTCTGTGAACACGTTCAGCTCAGACTTACGAATGTCGGCCAATTCCTTGGCCAAACGCCTGGTCGCCGCCATGCTCCTCTCTATCTACACAACCCACTACAAAGCTGAAGGTTGCTAAAAATCTACAATCACAACAAACAACAATAATAATAATTACCGTAATTTATTTCGCGACAGTTGTGCTTTCTTCTTGACCATTTTTGTTGACCGCGGACCGCGGTACCATACCAGTGCATGCACGCAGTGTTGACGAAAGCTTTCGAAAGGAGTGCATCATATGCGCTTGTTGCATATCGCATGTGTCAATGTGAGTATCGACCGTACACACAGGCGAAGGCATACCGTATACGGTATCGAGTTTGTACCAAGGTCGCGACGTCGGCAAGGCCAAGGACTGTTGCCAACACAACAGGGAGTAGTACAATACATGTACCATATTGGGCGCTTTCGATTACACGCATTTCGGTCTAGAATTGGTTATCGTTGATGCACAGTTCGATTACACAAAAAGTGACAAATTCCGTCGTTAGAATTGATTATATCCAATTCCGTCAATTCTGAAGAGAGGGCGGAATTTCTCTAATTCTGGCGCCAGAATTGCATGACTCAAGTCAAGGCCGGAAGAGCCTCCCTGATGGCCGGTGCGGCGCGAAAGCAGGGTTACAACTGCATGTAGTTGCTACTTTTGTCTTCCCGAAAAGCTAATAATTGCCTCGAGGTTAGCCCTCGAGGTTAGCCCTCGGGCCTACGGCCCTCGGGCTAACCTCTCGGGGCAATAATATGCCATAAGGCCCTCGCAACCATGCGATAACATATACATAATACTCGGATACGAACTAATAATATGTAGCGCAAAATAAAGTCAGAGAGAAGAAAAGTATTAACCGGTCCCGGGGGGGGGGGGGGGGGATCACTGTAAATACAAACAGAAGAATTGTTTGTTTTTTTTTGTTTTTTTTTCCTTATCTGATTTTGAAAATCCGCACGTTCGGGCTCTCCGCTATAGCTAGGGTCCAGCGGATAATGCCGGCATTATATTCGGCATTATACGACTATCCGAGCATCAGAGCATTATGGAGCATTAGAAAGGAACAAATCGAGCATTATGTGAGGTTTGAGCGCCATAACGAGTTTCATAGTGGATAATATCGGGAAATCCCAGGTTTTTGGCAACAATCGGCTACAATCATGATCATGAGATGTTGTCTGATGATTGGTTTTTGCCATGAAACTAACAACGAAACAGCCCTATTTTACTCCTTTTGTGTACCTCTTGCGTACTACGCTCCGCCCATTCCGGGCATTTGAGCACTATGCATTGTACCGGCGCATGACTTTGTGTGATTGTGTACACAGTACAGACACGTAACACCTATAGCGCTAACGCTACATAACTATTGCTACATAAAAGCGTTATGATTGTAGCAATGTGGTCAGGTAAATGTATACAAGCCACTTGTGAAGCATGCCCAACCGAGGCCGAGGCGCTAGGCATGCAGTTCAAGTGACACAAATCCGGAGAAATAATTTACGAGGTTTCTTTTACTTTTAGAATAATGGAGAGCTATGGAGGAGACATACGCGAAGTGAATATCAAACAGACGAAGAAGAGTTTTCTAGTTGCACCAGAGGCTCTGGCGATAGCATCTCTAGCGATACTGAAGTAGACACTGATGCATTGCTAAATTTGGACCAGGATGAAGGAGCGGCTATAAACAGAAAGAGCTCGTTCCAAAAGAACTGCCTTTGCCGAGTCCAGCTTAGGAGGCTCGAAAAGAACTAGAATTTCTCATGGACTCAGTACCAAGTCGATTGCTCAGCAGCGCCTGTCTTACTTTCCTGATGAAGCGCGTACAGTTAGCAAGTTGTGGACGGTTGTAATGCCAGGCCTACAGTCAAATGCTATCAGAAAGGAAGAGTATTGTGGCAAGCCATACGTCTACACACCATCTCAAGGAGAAGATCTCAAGGAGAAGATGAGAGCACAAGCAAAGAATGTGGAGTGGCAAAATAACTTCCGACCACGTGTTTTCAGGATTTCCGCAAATGGGAGGGCTCTCCATCTGAGATCGGATCTCAGGAGCTGGCCTCACGTCTGGTGTTTCAGATGAAGACATTATTCACAGAGTGGATGCAGTGACAGCTTGTCTGCAGGCAGGAATACTATTTGCCAAGATTAACTTCATCCCAACAATGAATGACTACCTGCAATAATGGTTTCATCTCTCCCTACATGGATAATTAGGGGAGGGATTTGATACAGCGACTATTCTGCCACAAGCCTGCATCAAAGTTGGAATGGAGAGCAATCAATGGAGAAGCGATCATGTCTTATAGTGCTAAGAAGTAGTGGAGCTCGTCAGAGAGAAGGTGGCAACTTCAGATGCAGATCGACGATATGCATAATTTCCTGGAAGTTTGACAATGTGCAGACTTTCTTCCATTTTTGTCCCAAATCAAGAGCATTATATCCCTTGCTGAAGCATTATAAATAGGCGTCGAGGCGACAATAGTTTTAGAATTGCGATCAGTGTGTGGAATGTTTTGTTCATCATTTTCTCCATATAACATTTTTTCTTTCTTCCATGTTCTTCACTGCCTTCGTATCCACTCGTTTTTTGAACACAATAAAAGCCTTTGTGAAATGTCGGTTCAGCTCGTTCTGTTGATCACAATTCTGAAGCATTATAATCAGCACTATAAGGCAGTTTTTGGAGCATTATGGTTAGCATTATACGAACATTTTCGGAGCATTATCCGCCGGACCATACTCTCTGCCTTCTCCGAATCTTCCAATATCTCACCAATCCGAAGTTGAAGCAAATATGCCAACAATTCTTTTAGCCGATTTTCAAACAATCAGCTGATTGTGCAACCGAATCTGATGTGTACTTGAGCTTAGCGAAAATCCGAATAGGCAAAGAAAAAACGGGCCGATTTGCGGAAAGACTAGTACAGTCAGACCTCGCTTGTCCAGTCCTCTTTTATCCGGATCCCTCGCCATCCGGAACAAAATAGCTGGTTACAGATTTACAGCATACGTGGTGCATCCAACTTTTAAAACCGGCGTTTGGTTATCCAGTTCCCTCGCCTATCCGGATATTTTTGTGGAAAACAGATGTGTGTGGTTAAATTAATTAAGCGAGGTCTGGCTGTAACCGGCTTTCCTGTGGCATCTTGTTGCCTGTTGATGTGTGCCACCAAGGGTACATAACCCCCCCCCCCCCCAGAGTGTGCAATGCCTGATCCAGCTCTGCATGGGGTCTTGGTCGAGCGTAATCGGATCTTCTGATGTCATGCGTGCACTCCATACCAGCGCGAGGCCGGTCTCGAGGGCCAGGGCACCATGGGGCTGTTAAAGGGGAAGTGCATCGATTTTTCAAGTAGGGCTCAGATGAAAGACAATTGGATATCGGTTCCGATGGTATATATCTCGCTTGCGTACGGCAAGGGAAACTTGCCATATCGCCGATTTCCTGATCCCGTTTCCATGGCGACTACAGGTGATGACGCACATTCTGCTTAGCTCCGTGAGAGAGAAGGTCGATCACTGCAGAATTGTGTCATTTTCAGTTGTCTTCTTGTATTCACGAAGTGAAAGAAGTACTGTGTTCAAGGCTGTTAGTGCCGTGAACTGTTTATTAGTAGTCCTCTCCGTTGTGTACTGGGACGTGACACCGACAGGGGAAAGCTGGAGTGCGGAGACGTTAGCTGGCAAGCGAAAATCGTGACGAACCAAGTGCTGAAATCTTGGTTGGGACAAATCAAACGTTCAGCATTTACCTCAACCAAGGACCATGCCGTTTGCTCTTTCCACTTCCTGAAGATGGATGCGCTGCCTGCTGGAGACTCTCCTATCTCTCGTAACATCTTCTGAAGCCAGGTGAGACGACGAGTAGCGGAGATTAGCGAACGAAATAATGTCGTGTGTTTTGAAATTTTGGCTGAACATTTCTCAGGAGAGATGGCGAATACCAAGCATCTTCTCCAAGTCTAGAGAAACCATTTCGTAGGCTACATCCCGCCTAGGGAAATGCAGGAGATGGCCTGGCTGGGGAGGACACACTTGGAGGAGAACGAAGTAAGTGATCTTGTATATGTTGTTCTTTGGTATTGCAATCTTATGTTTGACGAACATACGGCATGGTGCATAGTTGGTCGTTGAGTGCCTGCATGTGCATGTGTAAGTGTGTGCTGATAAACACTTCCTATGCAAGAATCTGACACTCATGCTCTCTTTCTTTCTTGCAGTATGTGCGCACGTGTGTGTGTGTGTGTGTGTGTGTGTGTGAGAGAGAGAGAGTGTGTGTGTGTGCAGGAGCAGCGTGGAGCATGCCAGTGTGATCGCTGTGGCCGTTGCTTTCTTAGCTGTGGCGTTCTTGCCCGTCACAAGTGTGTGGCTCAGCCCACCAACGACAGTGGAGCCGTGTTGTGGTGAATACTGTGTGTCCTGCGACCGCTGCTTCCGTTCGGTCCAGGGCAGGAATAGACACCGCTGCTGAAGCTCTCCCCGGCCGCACGTCAGTCTCGTGGCAGATGACCCAAACTCTCATTTTGTGTGTATGTGTGTATGTGTATGTGTGTGTATGTGTGTGTGTGTGTGTGTGTGTGTGTGTGTGTGTGGTGTATGTATATGTATGTGTGTTGCTCCCTACGTAGACAAACTCTTGTTTTTGTGTCCCGGGCGCATGGGGCGGCGTTCTCCCATTCTCTCTCCACTGCCCCTCCGGGCCCACGTGGCAGTGACTCGACAGGGCAGGACAAGTGTGTGTATGGTGCATTTTGTGTGCTGGCATGTCTGTATAAATATGTTGGACAGGAATTTGTTCACCCACAACGTTCACGGAAAACCATGCTAGGTGTTGCTGGAACGTATGGAGTCTGCGAGCACTTACAATAACTTACGTCATGTCACAACAAAGAACGGTGCAGTGTTTGACCATCATGTAAACACGATGGTGATGGTACCTCACCTAAGCTACCCGTGAAGATAGAAAGAACATCAGGTCAACAGAATTTTACCAGAGGAAAGCATATATTGCCCGAACTTCTTCATATGAAATAAACAATACCCTTCTCCATGGAGACAACATGCAGATGAAGTGTATGGACAAATAATATATAAATAGGCCATTCATTGAGGGCATGGAATGATCTCTACGTGTAGA